TAAAATTAAACTATTTAAATATATAATAATATTATTACAAATAAAATAAAAATATATAAAATAAAAATAAAATAACTAAATAATTTTGAAATCAAAAGAATAAAATATTATAAATATTATTTAAATAAATTATTAAAAATATAAATATAAAATAAAATTATAATTACAACTATATTGATACCTATATATAATATCCGATAATGTAATATAGTGTTGTTTCAAGCGATGGAGATTACTGAAGAAGCTTCAACAACTCAGTATACACCATTTGACCTGACCGTTTGATTCCGACCATTGCAACGAAACCCGCGCTTTCACCGACCACTGTTAATATATTTTTATCAAACAAGAGTTACTGCTGTCTATATTCTGTCTAATATATGTTATTTGAATCAGGTTATTATACTAGCCTCTTAAAAATATGGCTAAAAAGAATTCAATTAATTTGATATGATTTGATAGATTATTTGAGTTAGAACCAATAATTTTCAAGTTCAAAACTCATTGAAATTTATTTGCTCTAGTATTTTATTTTATTTTTTTTGCAAAATTTAAATAAAATCAAAGGATAATATAAATAGATTAATTGACATAGACTGGCCGGTTAACATATTAAGTTTGACAATGGTTAAGTTTGACTTTGATTGACAATAAAGTAAACAATTTAAAATTTGATTTGATAATTAATTTATTAAATTTAATTTATAAAGTAAATGAATTTGAGTCAAAAGTTGAATTTGATAGATAAATAAGTTAAATTTGAATTATTTATAGTTCAACTCCCTTAATTCATAAATCAACATATAATTAACTTTCTAATTTCATCTTTATAAAATTTAAAAGATTTTCCAAAACTTAATTATAAATTAATAATAAAATATGTGTGCATCTTAGAGTTTTATGGTTCTAGATTAAAATTCTATTAATTTATGCAAGATGAAGTAATTATTATTACAGAATTTTTTTTATGATTATTTTTTTATTAGAATCATACATTGTAGCTAGTTTTATAAAGTTAATGAAATAATTTATATTTTTTTTGAAAAATTAAATAATTATTTTATCTAAAATTTATTAATAAATTGAGACCTTGAAATGTATAGTATTAAAAAAACTCTTGATTTATATGATTTAAGTTATTGAGTTGAATTAAACTATTCATGAATTTGAACTGAATTGAATTTTGAATTAAAAAAAAGTTTATGTCGAATTCAAATTAAATTTTAAATTGAATCAAATATTATTAAATGTGTATTTATTTTATTAGTAGCACTCATTCCTAAACAACTAAACAAAGAAATATGTGAGAAGAACCTTCCAAATGAACATAAACTAAGCTTAAATCAGTTAAACTTATTTTTAGTCTCAAGTTTAACTACAAAATAAGTAACTTATAAGAAATTTAAGTTAAGTCAATCTATTTTATAAATATTAACTTGTATAAGTCCAACCAATACTCATTTACCAACTCTCACTTTGTTTCAAATACATGAGATATCAAGTATTTAATAATAATTAATTTTATTTAATAATATTTATATATTTATTAGTGTTCCGGTATTGGAGATCACCGCCGAAGAACCCTTAGCGACCTAGATCAATTATCTGGAATGGGTATCAAATTTGATGATGAAATTTTGGGACTATGGCTATGAACACTTTACCTGAGTCTTGGGAGACATTTCGGGTTTCTATTACCAACTCGGCCCCTAATGGTGTTGTTTCTTTGCAAGCGGCAAAGAGTGGTGCTCTTAATGAAGAGATGAGAAGGAAGACACATGGTTCTTTATCTCAGTTTAAGGTACTTATCACAGAAAATAGGGGGAGAAGTCAAAAAAAAGAACCGAAGGATTGTAGATAGAAGAGCAGAAGCAAGTCCAAGCCAAGATACAAGAATGTGGAGTGCTATTTACCATTCAAAGGAACCATTTTTGTATTTTCCTCCATCATTTAAGCAAGTAAATATATATATAGCCCCAAACCAAGGAGCTCTAATGCCACTGTGATTGGGGAAACAACAACACAATAATCAAGAGTACCAAAGTATGTAACGAAAATAATTCCCCAACTTAGAAAAACCAATGAGGAGCAACAAAACAAATAAATGGTGGAAAATAATCACAAAGAGACACAAATATTTTTAATGTCACAAAGATGCCTCCATATACATAGCATTCACACTATCCTTAGCAACCAAAGCTTTAGTCCAATACAGTTTAGAATTTTTCTCCCCTCTAGCCACAACCAAGTTACCTTTAGTGAGTTTCCACTTTCCAGAACCAAAGTGGTTATCATAACCACCATCGTCAAGCATCTGCACAGAAATCAAATTAAAACGAACATCAGGAGCATGTTTGACTCCTCTAAGCAACAACTGCATTCCCATGTTGGTTTGCAAGCAAACATCACCAACACCAATCACTTTAGACACACCATCATTACCCATCTTCAACACTCCAAAATCACCAGAAGTGTAAGATGTGAAGAACTCCTTCCTTGGTGTAACATGCAGTGTAGCACCACTATCAATAATCCACATGCTCTCATCTGATACAAGATTAATTAACCCATGGTCACTGAGAATAACAAGATCACCACAAGTAGAGAACTTTATGGGAGAAGATTGAGTCCTTGTATGCTTCTAAATCAGGAAATAATAAATTGTATTTGTTGAATTGTCTGATGAATTTGAGGTACAGGGAAAGTTCTTCCATTTCAGATCACTTGAATGAATTACAAGGGCTCCTAGATCAGCTATCCGGAATGGGTATCAAATTTGATGATGAAGTTTTGGGACTAAGGCTACTAAATACTTTACCTGAGTCTTGGGAGACATTTCGGGTTTCTATTACCAACTCGGCCCCTAATGGTGTTGTTTCTTTGCAAGCGGCAAAGAGTGGTGCTCTTAATGAAGAGATGAGAAGGAAGGCACAGGCACTAAGGTTTGATCGTCACACTAAGGTTTTGATCGTCACACTAAGGTTTGATCGTCTAAATTCCGACCTTAAAGTGCTCTTCACACCAAGGTTTGGATCATCAAAATGTCGACCTTAAAGTACTCTTCACACCAAGGTCTTGATCGTCTAAATTCTAACCTTAAAGTGCTCTTCGCACCAAGGTTTGGATCTTCTAAATTCTAACCTTAAGGTGCTCTTCACACCAAGGTTTGGATCTTCTAAATTCTGACCTTAAAGTGCTCTTCGCACCAAGGTTTGGATCGTCAAAATGCCGACCTTAAAGTGGTCTTTGCACCAAGGTTTGGATCGTCAAAATTCCAACCTTAAAGTGCTCTTCGCACCAAGGTTTGGATCGTCAAAATGCCGACCTTAAAGTGGTCTTTCTACCAAGGTTTGGATCGTCAAAATTCCAACCTTAAAGTGCTCTTCGCACCAAGGTTTGGATCGTCAAAATGCCGACCTTAAAGTGGTCTTTCTACCAAGGTTTGGATCGTCAAAATTCCAACCTTAAAGTGCTCTTCGCACCAAGGTTTGGATCGTCAAAATGCCGACCTTAAAGTGGTCTTTCTACCAAGGTTTGGATCGTCAAAATTCCAACCTTAAAGTGCTCTTCGCACCAAGGTTTGGATCGTCTAAATTCCGACCTTAAAGTGCTCTTCACACCAAGGTTTGGGACATCAGAATGCCAACCTTAAAGTGCTCTTTGCACCAAGGTCTTGATTGTCTGAATTCCGACCTTAAAGTGCTCTTCACACTAAGGTTTGGGTCTTCTAAATTCTAACCTTAAAGTGCTCGTCACCCTAAGGTTTGATCGTCAAAATGCCGACCTTAAAGTGCTCTTCACACCAAGGTCTTGATCGTCTAAATTCTGACCTTAAAGTGCTCTTCACACCAAGGTTTGGATCGTCAAAATGCCGACCTTAAAGTGCTCTTCACACCAAGGTCTTGATCGTCTAAATTCCGACCTTAAAGTGCTCTTCACACCAAGGTTTGGAGTATAATTTTAATTTACTCTTTAAATTTGGCAATCTCAACCAGTCAAAGTCATCTCTGAGATGATTGAACTTGTGTATAAAAAACAAGTCAAAGCTAGAAGACGAGCCTACAATCGAAATTTAATCGAATTGACATAACGAAGTAGTTGACGAAACAATTCATCACAGCTAAAAATTCATCGAAAACAAACGGCGAATCAGAGATTTGGGACATGAACATGAAATAGAAGCAGATATAGATATATGAATAGTAGCAGGAAGCATGTTAGGGTTGAAGAGAACAAACACAGTGGCTAGGGAGCGGGAGTTGGAGGCGGAGGAGCAGCGGAAGCATCAGCGGGAATAACGAGTGTCCAATCGGGAGGAAGAGGAGGCAGAGGATCGTACACCGTAGGTTTCCGATTTATATCCCACGGCTGCGTCTTCGGTGGCCGCGTCTTCCTGTGATGCGCCGTCGCTTTCTTCTGAGGCTGAGACGAACACATTATCGTCAATCCTCCACCTCTTCTCTTCCCAATCCCCAATGCTTGCGGCGGAGCCCTCACCACCCCGCACCCGAACATGTTCATCACCGACGACATTTTCCTTCTCTGCTTCGCGCTTCTTCGTTCTCTCGTTGCAAGGTTTCTATTGCGGCCAAGATTGCTTCTAGAGTGTGGCCGCCGGCGGCGGGAATGGGGTTTTCAATTCCGTCGGCGCCCCCAGTTATGGCACCATTGACGTCGTCGTTACTAGCTCCTGTCGCATTGCTTTCGTCATTGCGACCTTCTGCTCACGTCAAACAACAAAGGTGTGGGATGCAGTTTTACCTGCCCCACGGTGGGCGCCAAATGTTCCGGTATTGGAGATCACCGTCGAAGAACCCTTAGCGATACCGAGCTAAAAGAACTTGACAGCAATCTTGACCTAGAACATTTGATAAGAGTAACCTGCCCTCTTAGACCTAATCATTGCTATATATAATAGTGTAGCGTTATAGACATGAATCGCACACTCCTCTTTATGATCCCATAAATCACGCCTCATTATGGACTCGTAACTCCTGGTATTTATTATCGTTACCACGGATTGTGGAATTTTATTGATTGTCTGAGTGAGCCAGTGAATCTTCCCATATTTGGATCCCTATTATGGGTTCGTCATTTTGCCGATGTGTCTCGGGTCGGCCAATGGGAGACCACCACGGTACAATTAGAGAGAGATGATCCAATATTGTATTTAAGAAAAAATTAGTGTCACTCGCATCTTCATTTTTAGTGATATTTTCCATTAAGAAAGTAAAAGAAATGGATTATAATTTCTTACGTTGCATGAAAGTAACTTCATCTACAATTACAACCATATATATTGATAGTAGTGTTATAGTATCTAATTACAAATCAGCCGTTATCGGTTTACCTACAGTTATATATAGGAATAGAAAAATGCATGTAAAGATAATGTTAGAATGTTTTTTCTTTATTAGAGACGTCCATGAGTATAAATATAAAATACTACTTACCAAAGTTCTTCTATTAATTGTATAAAACTTAAGAAAATTACAAAAACTACATGATTAAAAAAAACTTTAAAGAAAATTATATTGACTCACCAGGTGAATATAATAATTTCATCACATGAGTAGTGGCACTTTTATCTTGCTTCTAAAACACTGACTTCAAAAAGTAGATCAAAACCATGGAACAAAATCCATTGCCAAGGAAGCGTACACATTGATAGTCAAGAAACACACACATATATATTTAAAACTTTCAATATGCATAAAATGTTTTGATGTATATTTATCAATCAATATTTTGCAATTAATATAAAAATATTAAATAAAATTATTTATCATTTAAATTCCTGATACCTCACCTTAATACTTATTGTTTCATTACAAATCCTTTTTTTTTAGGGGATTTCATTACAAATCCTATTGTATGTTTTTATTAAATTTTTTTCACATATAGTTAGGATAATTAATATTAAATGTAATCAATTAATATCGTTTATATCCCTTAGAATATCCGTACATGCCACAATCGCTGACAATGATATAGTTGTTGTGTTCATTGTGTTTGTGGCTGCATAGTTTGAGTCAATGTTTTAAAAATCGGATCAGACCGGCTGGTCGGATCAGTTGAACCAGGAATTGGTGGTTCAGCCGGTCTAAATTTTAAGTTGGATCAGTTATGTATTTGACCCGTTTTAAATTGGATTGAACCAATCAATTTTTCGATTCAACTAGTGAACTGGTGGGTCAAACCGGTTTAACCACAATTTTTTTTTATTTTTTTAAGGGACCACAAATCACAAAAATAACAATGAGAATTGAATCTATTAATGAAAGAGCAAAGAGTCTTATGAAACATAAGAATGACTGCTTGTTCTAATATATTTATTTGTAATATATGTAACTTAAATAACTTTTATAATATATTATTAATTTTAAATTATATATTTAATAATATAATATCTATGTAGATATTACATATATTATATTGTGATATCAATTGCAAACATATTATATATATTTTTAATTTATATTAATATACAGTTTAACATGTAATTTTTTTATGTATTTCTTTATGTAAAATAAATATAAATTTTTTTTAAATAAGATGAAAATTAAAATTTAAAATAGGATATGAATTTATTGAAATTTATAAGTATAAAATATATTTAACATGAATATATTTTTTTAAAAAATTAATAAAATTGGGTCATATAGTTCAATTAATGACCCACTAGTTCAATCTTTGATCCACTGACCCAGTATCCTAACCGGTTTAATGACCGGTCCGGTTTTTAAAACTATGATTTGAGTATGATTCATTTGAGACAAAATTGCTCTTTTGTTTTTTCTTCTTCTTTTTCATTTTTTCCTTCTTCTTTCATTTAGGTGTTCAGTAACTAGCTACAAATGCTGACCCACCTTACATAGGTGTGATCCGGTGTGGATAAGTGGACCTTGCTATATAAAATTTCAAACAAATTAAGGTACATGTTTTTCATAAGAAATAACTTCATGTCCGTAGATGTATACATTTAGTAATAATGTTGAAAGATAACGTTCTCGTTAAAAAAAAAATAACAATAATATGAAATTTTAAAATAAAATAAGACAATAAATTGAAGAATCTTACAAAATTAAACTTCGATTACAAAAAGAAAATTGTGTTTTAATACAAATATAAAGTTGGATATCATGGAGAATCGATACTAATTATACGATCCCAATTATTTTCCGTGTAATTTGGTTGATTATAATCTATTGATCCTTTAAACCAACCAGTATTTAATTTATAAGACTTTTTTATTTATATGTTTGTGATTTTTCCTTTCACGAAAAACTTAATTAAATGGTGAATAAGCTCATATATATAATAGATAAGGTTTTTTAGTATGACAATTAAATTGATAAGTCATATATACAAAGGTCTATTATAATTAATTTATACATAAAGATTGATAATATAGATTTGTTATGTAGTATTATTTTTTAAAAGAAAAAAAAAACAAAAAACTCCAAGACCTAAATAAAATCATGAACATTACGTATATTTAATAATAATAAAAAAAACTACGAATAAAGGTTAACAAACTTCTAATAAGAATCTAAATTTAATATTTAGTGACGAGTTTAAGGGAGATCAAGTCCTACTTCTTAAATTCGGTGTAAAATTATATTTATATATGTTAAATCAAACCGAATGTAATCTTGTGATTTATGTACCCAATCTCACTTGCATAGAATAAGTTTTTGTCTTTGTTGTAATTTTTTTTTTCAAAAACATAATAGTTATATTTAATAATAATTTTACTCTGTATTGATTACAATATGATTTAGTATTAAATCTTCACTTTATTGTGCTTTTTATATTATATAAATGTATAGTTAATTCATTTTTAAAATTGTTATACAAATGGGGTTTGCTAACGTCCTCCTACACTTTTTTAAATGGGAGTATTTTAGCATTCTACACCTTTTCTTTTTGACAAAAAAACCATTTCTCCTTTTTAAAAACAGCTTACACTAACAGGGTAAAACTGTAATTTTTCATGCTACATCGATTCTCGTTAAATTAAAACTCACGAATAATTAATGAGGTTACACTTGTCTCTTGCGAATCATTCACGAGGCTTAGGGCATCTTCACTGCCTGCCCGTCATAATGGAAGCCACAACCTATAACAACACGAGAAATTGATTAGTGCTAAGAGGTGATAAAAATAATACAAATAACATTACAGTATATTTTATGTGCATGAGCAAGGAGAAGGAATTTTTATATTAAAAGCATAAAAATTATTTAGTTCTTCAATTTTAAGTTATAAGAAGTCAAAGTATTTAGTAGTGTATTAAATATGAGAAATTATTCTGGATCATATGATCTATAACTATTTTATTTTCTACATGATATGTAATCAATTATTATTAATTTTTTCTTATAAATTTAAAAATTTAAATGCATATATTGGTTGGATTTATGGATAATTGATGGTTTTATAATACCTAATAATTTTTGCATAAACATTTCTTGACAAACGTCTTTCAGAAAATCATTAACAGACCCACATGTTATAATTAAAGAATCCATATTAATGAGTATGGATGTTATCCTTTTTATGGGTTGGTTTAAGGAGGATATTTTCTCTTTTTTTCTTCCTGTAATCCTGATTCCCTGATGATAAAAATTACTCTTTTATCAAATAATATTAACAATAACAATAAAGAATGGATGAAGCTAATGATTTTTACAGAATTTAAAACATAATGTTGTCATACATTTGCTTATAACTTGTTATTTTGTTTTTAAAACAATTTATTGATCTTATTAGTTAGACGCCAAAAAATAGGTACAAAGTCAATCTTGGTTGACGTCCAATAATAAAATAAATGCGAAAGGAATTTACAATCCTCTGATAAACTCTGAAACCACTATCGATGACTTGCCTTGAAATGAAATTTATGAGGGTTGGTACAAAGTCCAGTTTAAATCCAAATTTGATATACATCATTCATTTCATAATAGCACAATAACTCGAAAGCTAAAAATAAGTTCGACAAATCAAAACCAACAGTGACTTCTTAACCATAATTGATACATAAGAAAAATTAGACTGTATCTTAGTCATTGAGTACATATTTAAAAATGAAAAATAACACAATATATAAAATGAAAAGTCTTCTTTCTTGCAACTAAATCATTGATCAATCCTCATTCTCTTTTAAGATTACTTTCTCCAACCCTTTGTTATCCTATTAAAGCATAAGAAAAAACAAATAAAAACCTCTCAGTTAGCATTTCTTAACTCAAAAAGTGTAGACATCAATTAAAAAATATATAATAGCTAACACATACTTATTAGGAGATTGAGAAGGCAATATATCAATGCTATTCTTTTTGTTTGGACAATTTCGCGAGTCATGATTGGTTCCACCACAATTAGGAAAATGACAACGACGAGACTTTTTTGCAGCTTCAACTCCTCCTTTTGGCCTTGATCCTTTTGGTCTACCTTTTGTCTTAGAAATGATGGGATTTTCAACTTCAAGCTCACAGCCACTGTTATTTGGTACATCATGTTCCAACTCAATTGATTTCTCTTGA